ATGCAAAACCCTGCTGCTGATAGGGCATGGGCCAAGGGATGTCCTGTGGCCTTATCCAGTCTGAGTTGTTCTGTTGACTGTCTTGGCTCAGCTTACAGGTTCAGTTTCATAGTGAGCAGTTCCTGTTTGTAGGGAACTAATTTTAAGTTATGCTTCTTACCGTATCCCTTCTGTAGTCTAAGTGCACCTGCACAAGGGAGGTGCTTTATCTCTTCTTTTGCCCAGTGTTTTTAGTTATGTCTCATGATCTGCGTCATTTGGAATGCACTTCTGAAAAATATGTTTGAACACACAAACAGCTTTTGCAACATATTATACTCATGCTGTGAGATGAACTGTTGGTCAAGATTAAACACAAGACCATCTTGATGGTTCTGTTAAAGGATGTGGATTTGTACAAAGAACTCTTACTCTGAATTTACCTTCCTTGTACTCTACTGTTTCTGCTGAAGTGCTTAAGAAATAGAAATTTTAGTTGTAAATGACAAGCTTTGATTAGAGCAGGGGTGGGATGGGATGAGACATTTTCCCCTGACTCCTTAAGTTGCTTGGTGAAATTGTTGCTCTGTATCTCTCCTTGTAGGGACCGAAGCAATATCCCTTCAATGACCTGTATCTGGAGAGAGGAGGAGACCCCAATAAAGAGCCACCAGTGGTGACGCACTATGAAATCTGAAAGTTGTTGGAAGTGCTGTGTTTCTCCTGCATCAGCTCTGCTGGGGATGGCATCTCCTCTATTGTTCGCTGTGGGCATATGTTAATGCTTCACCTGCTAACTGCAGTGAAATATATCAATGATACCATCTGTGCCAGTTGTCTTCTGTTGGTTTGAGAAGGCTGAGCGGTGCCAATGAAATTGAACGACCTTTGCCATTTTCTAAACAGGCTGGTATCTGTGGGGCGAAGTTCTGACTGCAGTCCTAGGGCTGCTGCTAGTTGATGTGCCTTATGCACGAGCATTCTTTAGCTAAGCCTGTTCACGTAGGAAATATTGCCTGTTACCAGGTGGCTTACTGCAGGTGCTGCTTAGAATTGAACTAGTGTCATCATTTAGTGTGAAATGACAGGCCGAACCAGACTGGCAAGTTCCAGTGCTTGGGAGTCTTATACCGCGTGAATAACTGTCCGTCTATTACTGGGATTTGGCTTTGATCTCTTCCTGGTCTAGCAGACCTCTTAAGTGAAGCTTCCACAACCCGTAGGGAGCACTAGTGAGGCACAGAGCCTCGCGGTGTGTAGTTTGAGGCTGTAGACAGCAATGATGGAAAAAAGCTAATGAGCAAGTCCCACCTCTGGCCAGACCTGTTCTGCTGTGCCTGGGCTTTGGTCCAAGAGCACAGGTGCCCAGGTTGCTCCTGTATGGCCTGAGTTCATCCACCAGAGTTGGAGTTATGTCTGACCCATGAAGTCTGCCTGTCTTGCTGTGAGCCACTGGGCCACTTAGGGCTTTATCATCGGTTTGCTTGGGGAAGTTACACATACAATTTTATTAAGCTCCCAGATTTTTCCAGCTCCGCTCT